TGCTGAGCCGGGTCTCGGGGCGTGTGCTCTAATAGTTGTGTGGGGCCAGATTTGCTTATGTGCTCTGTTATGCTCCGGGTTGTCTAACAAATGGGTTTCTTGTATGCAGATTACGTCCGGCCATCGCCTGCCTCCAATTCCTTTGAGTTGATCCCAAATAGCTTGTCGCTTTTCAGGTTTGCTTGATGCCAAGCCATTAACGTTAATGGAGCGCAGGTCTAAGTCAGCCGAATCAACGCATTTCCGCCATGCCAAGTTCCTACAATATAATGTTTCGAGGTCATCCATTTCTTCCTATCCTCAATTTGATGGATACCTTAGCGTGAGATTCCCATCCATTTAGGTGTGTCATAGTGGGTGCCAATGCTTGAGGTCCCACTTATCTAGGTACAATACTTTTTCTCATGCAATTCGACACAGGCATCGACAAACGTCATCTTCGGACCAGAAGTCGCTGGCTTTGATCTTGGCACATTGCAGGTCTAAGAGGGCATTATGGCTAAACCAGCCTAGATTAGAAGTTTTATTGGGGTCAAAGAGCAGGTACAAATCATTCCGCGCTATCTGTTCAGTAGACGTCTCAAACCTCAATCCCGCCCTTGCCCCCGGGGAGTAGTGTTTGGGGATGAAGGTTGACATCTGGTCAGAGAACACTCTGCCTTTCTCCATACGGTCTTTCTCATGGAGCGAGAATTCCCAACCATGCATTGTAACGCCCCCGTAGTCCCCCGCCGGGGAGAGACCCAACTCCCATCTTCCTTCCGCTTTCCTGAGGGGGAGTACCATCACCCCATTGGTTTTGGAAAGAGGTAGTTCGAAGAGGCCCCGTTCAATGACCTGCCTGACCTTAAGTCTTCGCGAAGTCATCCCTTCCTCTGTTGTTCCCCTTCCACCATCCGACACTGCGCACGAGGTCTCAGGTGAGTGGGGAGCCGAAGGCTTCGCTGCCGGAGGCGGATGAAACCGTCCTCGAGCGACGGCCAATATGCGTTGGAATGCCTCAGCCCAAGTTAAATTGGGGGGGGGGGCGAAGGTGAGCGCGTTCCTCAGAGACGGGCTGTTGTTAAGGAGTGCCACTAACTCAACGTAAGATTTGTCCCAGTATTCCTCTCCTTCGTGTGGGCAGTCTGCTTGGAGATGTTTAAGAATCCAATCCGCCACTACCTGGATTTTCTGATCCAGGCTCATTTCCTGGGGGGGGGCATCTGGGCCCGATGGGTCCTTGGGGGGTTCCTCCATCTCTACATCAGGCGGGGGGGAAGTTGTATCTACGTCCATTTGCTGCACCCCAAAGGCGTCCGAACAGAAGTCCGGGGCCAAATAATCTGGTTGTTCCTGTTGTTGGCCCTGCCCCCCTTGCGGTTGCGGCTGTTGAGTATGTAACAGTTGTTGTTTGAGCAGGTGCGGTGACCGGGTCCTTGCCTGCTGTTTCAACCTTGTTCCATGCTGTTTCTCTGGGGTTGCATTCTTCCCTTTTTCCCCTTTTGTCGTATTGTGCTCTCTGCTATTGGGGTGGGCCGGGTGGGCTGAGTATCCGACCGACTGTCTGTCACCTTTTCTCCTATCATCAAGCTCGATTGAGCTGATGCTGGCTGATCCTCCCCATTAGGTTGGTCCTCTTCTGTAGAGACCTCCTCCTGGGTTTCTTGTGTCTCCTGGATCAATTCCACCCCATATTTCAGACACTCAAAGCGGTTACCCTGATTCTCAGCTCCTTTCTTTATTTCCACCAGTTCCTTCTGCGGGGGTTCCTTCTTTTTGTTGCCGACTGCCACCCAAGTGCCCTGGTTTTTCAACTTGGGGGGGGGTGCAAATGTGACTCCAGTGATTTGGGGGGGGTCCAGTTAGAAGGTGGTTGTGTCCCCGGCCAAGGGTCCCCCTGCCCTTCCCATGTCCAACCAACTACTTCCCCCTCCTGCCCCCCTGGTTTATCAATGTAAACCCATCCCTCATAACCCGGGTCGACCGTCCGCCACCTGGTTTCTTCGAAAGGGTCCTTTCTCAGACGTCCTGTGGGTTTTGCAGTACGCGAGGGATGTCGGCTGCAGGTTGTGTCAGTGTAAAGGTGCCCGTAGGCCTGGCACTTAAAACACCAGGGTCTATGTTTATGGGCGGTATGGACACGATACAATTTACCCCCGACACAGAAGGGGATTACATCGTCAATCGAGGAAACATGCTCATCAACCAGATTTATGGCCAGCATTAAGTAATCGTCCCTCCGGGCCACATGCGGAGGGAGCGGGTCAATGAAATCAATTATGTCATATTTCTCGGCGATGTCCTGGACGAAGGCGGCCTGGATCTCGATTGCAATGTGTCGGAATTCTACCCAGAAGTGTTCTCTCATTAATTTCTCCCTGCGCTCCTCCGGTCGTTGCGGCTTCGGAGGGGCCCATGGGTAGATACGGACCTCATATCTATTGCACCGCAGAGATCTCCATCCATCCATCGTTTTTTTGTCCGCCTCTGTCACACAGAGGACTGTAATAACAGACGACGAGGCCGGTTGGATGAGGAACCGTTCACGTGCATTCGCCGGAGATCCTTTGAATGCAGCTAATCGTTCTCTAATCCACCCGACTTTATCGTTTGTAGATTTGAAGGCTGCGTCGTCATGGAAGGCCCAGTTGCTTGCATGACGGGTGTAAATGAGGTCTCTTGTTCTCACAGCCTCCTCTGGCAGTGCTCTAACAATGGACGACTTGCCCCCCTGCTGCACGATTCTGTTCTCTGGGGTGGCCAGGAGGCGGGAGAGGAAGAAGGCTCCTGCTGTTGTCAGGTTCTCTACCTATGTCCTGGCAGTCGAGCCCTGAGAGGATGAGCTCGGTTGAGGTTCAGTGGGTGTTATCTCCTTGTCTTTCGCCGGGTCCTTCCCTGTGTCGTCCTTCATCTGATCCGGGGTCCGGTCGTCCTTGGGGGCATTATCCCCTTCCCCCATTAGGCGGCCCTGGGCGTACTGTCTAACTATCCCTCTGTATAATAGCATAGAATCAATTCTCTTATGAGCCCGCTGATGGCGAGGCTTCATGTTGTTGCTCACCATCTTGAGATGCCGCGCATCCTGAAGCAGAGGGACAGTTGAGGATGGGAGGCAGTCGGGATCGTGAAGGGAGGGTCGTAGAGAGAAGAGGGAGATAGAGGAGAGGGGTGGGTAAGTTTGAACAGCAAGGAGTGGGGGGCAGTCGGGAACGTGAAGGGAGGAGGGGGAAATCAGTCAGGATCGGGGAGGGAAGGGGGGATCTAATGAAACAGAGGGACAATCGAGGATGGGAGGCAGTCGGGATCGTGAACGGAGGATCGTAGGGGGAAGAGGGAGATGGAGGAGAGGGGTGGGTCAGTTTCATCAGCAGGGAGTGAAGGGAGGAGGGGGAAATCAGTCGGGGTCATAGAGGGGAGGGGGGATCGGGATTGGGGGAGAGGGGGGAACACAAGATAGCTGGCGGATCTTGGGGGTGGGGGGCGGCCTGGGACGTCGGGAGCTCGGGGGGTCGCGGGGGATGGCTGTCGGGATCGCGGAAGAAGAGCGGGGGGCAGCAGGTGGATGGGGGTGTCGGGATCGCGGGCACAGGCGGGTGGCTATCGGGATCGCGGAGGAAGAGCGGGGAGCAGTGGGTGGATGGGGGTGTCGAGGTCGCGGGCAAAGGCAAGGGTGTCGGGGTCGCGGGGGGATGGCTGTCGAGATCGCGGAGGAAGAGCGGGGAGCAAAGACGGGTGGGGAATCGGGATGCAGTGAGGGTGGGAGATCGGGATGCAGCGGGTGATGAGCTCAGACCAATTCGCGGGGAGGCGGGATCTTAGAGGGGGGAGGAGAGGTGAGGCCAGGGATGACGGGAGCACGGAGGAGCGAAATCGAGATGGCTGTTGGGATCGCGGGAGGAGAGCGCAGTCGGGGTGGGTGTCGGGATCGCGGGGGGGAGCGGGATAGATAGGCGAGGAATCGGGATGCCGTGGGTGATGAGCTCAGACCAATTCGCGGGGGGACGGGATCTTGGAGGGGGGAGGAGAGGTGAGGCCAGGGATGACGGGAGCACGGAGGAGCGAAATCGAGATGGCTGTCGGGATCGCGGGAGGAGAGCGCAGTCGGGGTGGCTGTCGGGATCGCGGGGGGGAGCGGGATAGATAGGCGAGGAATCGGGATGCCGTGGGTGATGAGCTCAGACCAATTCGCGGGGGGGGGGGGGGGGGGGGGGGGGGGGGGGGGGGGGGGGGGGGGGGGGGGGGGGGGGGGGGGGGGGGGGGGGATAGGTAGGCGAGGTGAGCGGGGAGGGCAGGGGAAGACAGGATCGCAGGTCGAGATTGGCTGACGTGGCCGCCGGGATCGCGGGCAGAGTCGGGGTGGGTCGGGATGGGGTGGGGTCGTGGGCAAGGTCGGGACGGGTCGGGATGGGCCGGGAGGGGTGGTGGTAATTAAAGCCTCCCGCCTGTTCTTATCTGTCTGGGGATGGGGGGACGGGTCAGGATGGGTCGGGAGGGGTGGTGGTAATTAGAACCTCTCACCTGTTCTTATCTATCAGTCTGTGTCGTGACGTTGTCTTGGTGCCAATTGTCCGTATCGCCGGTGGTCGTGCACGTGGTCTTACTACCCTCACCGCGTTCATTTCCTTACGCGGGGCCCCAAGGGTGCAAGACTGCGCACGGTCACCGGGGTCTTCTTGTCGCTTCCTCTATTGCGTCTTCTGGTCGTCCGCTTCCGCCGTGATGAATAGTCACTCCGCGCTCACACGGTTCGTCGATCGCTGCTCTTCATCTCCAAATCGGGACTCCCGCTCTGGTGGTTTTCCTCTTCAGTTATCTGGGCATGCTATCTTCCTCCCGCAGTTCCTCTCTCCACATTCGCCGTCGCCTTAGCACACTCTGCACTCCTCCTCTAGACTTGGCCCACCTCTGCCCTTCCTCGTTGCTTCTTCCTCCCTTCTCCCTCCACCGTTGCTTTTTCCTCCCTTCTCCCTCCACTGGTCGCAGCTCATGCTGCCGTGCTGGCCCCTTGCGTGCTATGGCGAGTGCGGTATCCCGTCCCGTCTCTCCACTTCTCTTCTCCCTCCCTCACCATGCCTCCTCTCGAACACCATCAACGGGTGTTAGTGCTTGCACCGGCGCAAACCTGTTGCGCCGCGGGCGCTAAGCAGCCGACCGTTCGGCCATCACTCTCAGGAGCTGTCTTGACAAGTTCCTCCCTTGAAATCCATTGATCTTCCATAGGATCCGTATGATGCCTGAAATGCACTTTGTACTCCCTTGCCGGTTTAGGAGGTCTTCCCCTGCTAGGTGGCTTGGGAACAAGCGTGTCTCTGTGATCCAGGATGTCGTCGACGTCCACGTGGCCATCCATGGTTGGGGGCAGCATAGATCTTCGTGATGGGAACTGTGTTGTCTCAGCGAAAGGTGCATGCTTGGAGGCGTGAAAAACAGGGTATGTGCGTAGCTGACCAGGGATACGAGTGACGTACGAGGGACCATCCAAATCATTCCCCACAATGTCTAAGACTTCCCAGGGACCGAAATACTGAGGCATTAGTTTCCTAGAGATGCCAAACTCCTGTCGCAACTCACTAGCCTTGACCCAGACACGTTCCCCTACCTGAAATGTGGACTGTCGGCGACGTTTGTTCTCAGAAGCAATCATAGCTTCCTGATATTTCTTGATGTGTTCGACAGTCTGCTGCAACAATTTCTCATACTGGACACCAAATTCAATGGTTCCAGGAGTTGCAACAGTTCGGTTTTCAGGCAGGAGGAAGTCTAGAGCAGATATAGGCTTCCATCCTAGATGTAGTTGATCAGGACGGACACCGGTGGTGCTGTGAACAACATTGTTGTACAGACTGGCGATGAGAGGCAGTTTCTCATCCCAGTCCTCCTGGCTGGGCTTGATGTAATGCCTCAGCAGATGCTGCACCACACGGTTCATCTGTTCAGCCTGCCCATTTGCTTCGAGATGATTCCCAGAGGTCATCTGAAGCTGGCTGCCCATCTGTTCAGCGGACTTCTTCCACATCTCGCTGGTGAAACACACATCTCTATCACTAACGATTGTCTTTGGCAGTCCAAAGTCACGCACCCAGTTATCCATGAACAACTTAATGACGTGCTCAGTCCTGGCAGTCTCTGGCATGGCAATTAGTATAGCATACTTGGTAAACCTATCTACTATGACGAAGATATGCCTTTTGCCATTCTTGCTGGTCACGAGAGTATCCATGAAGTCCATGGAGATACTTTGCCCTGGGCTGGCAGGAATGGGTAGAGGCTTGAGTAACCCAAGCGGAGCTTGAGTCCGCGGCTTGTCCCGCTGACAGACCTGATAGGTGTGTACGTACTTCTTTGCATCGTCCAGCATGTTAGGCCAATCGCTGTACTAAGTTAGCACTAGTATTCTTGTAGCCGAAATGCCCCGTTGCATCGTGGCACTCACATAAAAATAAACTATGCAAAATTTCCCTAGATGGAACAACTAACCTCTTAAACCCTGCCTTTTCAAGAAAGAGTAACCCATCCACCATCACAAACTCGTCAAAAGTGACCTTGCCTTTGGCCTGCAGTTTGTTGATGATGCCCATCGTGACGGGATCTTCCTTGTAGGCTTCCCCCAAGGATCGAGTCACGTTCTCAGATAAGCCAAACTCAGAAATCAGCGCACATAGGTAATCTGCCCTTCTAGACAACGCGTCCGCAACCTTGTTGTACTCTCCCTTCACATAGTCTAGTTTGAAGTCATACTGGTCTATGACTTCACTCCAGCGTTTGAGTGCATCGGAGAGAACTAGTTGGGTCTTGATCCACTTGAGGGTCTGATGGCCGGTTCTCAAGTAAAAGAATCTTCCTAACAGATAGCGCCTCCGGTGGACAAGTGCCTTGTAGAGAGCATAGAGTTCCCTTTCGTAGGTGGACTTTGCCAACTTCTTTGATGGCATCTTTTTGCTCATGTACTTGACCAGTCTCAACTTTTTCCCTTCCTGTTGAGCCAGCACTGAGTCAATGCCATATTGGCTTGCATCAATGGTAACAACAAATGGCCTCTGCAGGTCAGGCACCATGAGAACTTCATGGTGTGTGAGAGCATGCTTCAAACGCTTGAAAGTTGCCTCACACTCGTCGGTCCAATCCCATGGTGTGTCAAGTCGAGTTAGATCAGTCAAGGGAGATGTGATCGTGCAATAATTCTTTATGAAATTGCGATAATAACCACACATTCCCGAGAATGATCTGACCTCAATCACAGACTGGGGTCGTGGCCAGTCACGTATGCTAGCCACCTTTGCATCTTTGGGCCTAATCCCATCCGCGGACACTTCATGACCCAAGTACAAGATTCGAGTGCATCCGAACTCGCATTTCTCTGCGTTTATCTCATACTTGTGATGATGAAGGAGTGAAAGTACTTTGTCTACATGTTGAGCATGCTCCTCGACAGTCTTACCAAAGGTACGTATATCGTCGAGGTACACGACAACAAACTTATCTAAGTAGTCATGGACGATCCTATTCATGGCGTGCTGGAATGTACCCGGTGCATTGCAAAGGCCAAAGGGCATCACCACAACCTCGTACAGACCGTACCTGGTCTGGAATGCGGTTTTATGCTGGTCCTCTGGTCTTATGGCAATCTGATGGTAGCCGGATTTCAAGTCTATCTGGGTATAGTACTTACACCCTTGCACCCTATCCAATAGGTCGTCGATGCGTGGTAGAGGCTCTGCGTTCTTAACGGTGATGGCATTGCGGCCTCTATAATCAATGCACATCCTTAGTGTTCCCCCTTTCTTTGGAACAAATAAGACTGGTGAGCCAAAAGGGGAGGTGCTAGGCCGAATCCAACCCTTCTCTGTGAGCTCTTTTAGTTGTCGCCGAAACTCGTCCAACTCGGCCGGAGCCATCCTATAGATCCTCCCTTTAGGTGTCTTGCTACCCGGGATAATCTGTATGGCATGGACAACCTCCCTGTCTACAACTCTTGTAGGCTCCTCGAACAGATCAGGGTCCTTAGCGACAATGGTCTCTATCTCTGGGGGGTGTTTTAACGGCCTCCCCTTTCGCAGAGACATAGACTAAGTACATTCCTTCCTTTTGGTTCTATTTGTGATAGTTATAGAAGGCAGATGCGCGTAAGCACCCATAGGAGTCTATTAACCTACTGGCTTTATACTTCGCCAGTCTAACGGTCCTCCCATTAGGCAACTCGTGCTTCAACGCCTTCTTGTCCCAGTCAAACTGCGGCTTGGCGACCTTGAGGTAGTACATGCCCAACAACATGTCAAAGGGCAAATCGTCGCTCACCAGGAATGATATCGTATGGCTTATCTCTCCTCCTGGGTAGGAGAAAGTGCAAACTACATATTTAACGTAGTCCTCCACCAACATGCGCTCTTTGTTGGCCAAAGTAGATGCTACCGGTCTACTTGGGCGTTGCACCAAGTCCTTTAGGTGCAATCTCTCAATGCAGTCGCGACTTATGACGCGTGGAGCTAATGTCTACGAAGGCACCGCACTTGCAACCACCCTCCAACTTCCACAACGAAATGTTCCCCTCTAGGACCTCTACTTAGTGCCACCCAGGACTCACGAGGGTCCCTTGCCGACCACTCACCTTGAAGGTCCTCTAAGGCTTCAGACACATCCAACGTACACAGTATAGTTGGGTCCGGATGCATCTACGGGGTGACTAAGGAGTCAATAGCTTCGGCCAACTCTTGAAACGGGGAGGGTACATCACCTGCTTCAACGAGAGTAGAAGCAGCTACAACTTCTATCGGCCCTAAGTGTTTTCCGAGTTGGAGTTCGTAGAGGCCCCAAACTGAGAAGAAGGATACCCACCCTTTGGAGGAATCTTCTGCGAGACCTTCGGGTTCTTGCACTTAAACTGCGTATGGCCGTACTCGCCGCAGTTTATGCAAGCACCCCGCGACCAACGGTCCCGCCACACTTCCTGATCCAAACTGGCCCTTACCCAAACGACTATTTTGTTTGGGTTGGCGGCTTGCCCCTGACTCCTCTGTTGACCGCCCTTGCCGCGACCACCTGTCTTAGTCTTAACTGTTGTGGCGGGGTTTCTACGCTCAACACTCTCCTCGCAGTCACTCTCTGCACTCTCCACAAGCTCAGAAACATCATCGATCTCAGTTTGATTCCCATCGGAATCAACCATCACCAATCGACTACCCTTTTTCTTCCACTCTTGTGGAGCCTTCTTCTTTCTCCCGTCCGTAGAAGGGGTTTGAGCACCACCCAGTAGCCTCTAAGTCTAAGGCCTTCTTATTGAATGTCGCAAAGGTGTGATACTCTAGCCGTGCCTCGCTGGCTAGTAAGTTTTTGATGTCTGTGGGAAGACATCTTAAGAACATGGTCAATAAGACCTGTGGATTGTACTCCACTCCTAAGACAACAATCAGGCGCTCTATAGTCGTGGTAAGCTCTCGCATTGACTTGTACTTCCTTGCATCAAGCTTTAATAGCCTATCAGTGGCAATCTGTGCATGTTGAGGGTTGTGCCATCGTACTTCCACTAAATCCATAAAACTTTCTAAGGTGTGGGTCTGCGCCCGATCACCCATGTTCCTGCGAAACCCCTTTGAAGCTACCAATCCATTAAGCCAGCGAGCTGTTGAACCCTCTAAGTAGGATGCGGCAGTTATCACTTCCTCTTCTACCAATGTCCTCTTTGCCCTCACCCACACTGGCACTGTTCTCAACCACGTGTCGAGAGCCTCATCCTTCTTGTCTCTTGAGAAGGTTGGAGGTGGTTTCAGGAGGGTCTTGGGATACCAAGGTAGTTGCTGTGCCACTTGCGGGACAGGTGACGACTGTGGTGTAGCTCCAGTCGCTGGACCAGACGATGAAGAAGCAACAGTTTGAGATAGGGTTGTTACTGATGTACCACTTGGTGATGGTCCGGACTGAGCGGCATAGGGACCTGTCATCGCTGAGAATGGCAGCGATGGCAAGACTGCTGGCCTGATTCCTGGCCTGTGCATGGAGTTCAGAATCTGGTCCAAGGTGTCCTGGATTGTATCCAGTTTACTATCCATGTATGCGTGCATGGACAGGATGCTCGCCTTAAAAATCTTTTTAGTATTGCTAAGGGTTGAGTCATCTAACCCCTCTAGTGCAGCCTTGTCTACCTCCCTACCCTCTAGTTTGACACTCCTATCTTTAATCTCTTTCTCTCTTTTAGTAGCCTGTTTAAGTTCCTCCTCTAGCCTTAAGCGAATCCTTTCTACTTGTTGGAGCTACATCTGCTCCTGGGTGCGTGGATGCGACGAGTTGTACTGCGAGCCCGCCATCTGACTAGTGCCAGCTCCTGACATACTGGAGATAACATGCGAGCTGGTATGTTGACCTGTTGAGGTCGCAACAGATGTTGCTGCAGAGGTAGCCATTGCTACCGCGCTAGCTGCTGCTGCTGCCAACGCCCGTTCTACAGCTCTTGCTGCTTCTCTCGCAGTCTCTAGATTACGGGCCCTAGCTTCGACCCTTGGTCTCTTTTCGTCTCCTGGTAGTAGGACCTGGAATACTAAGGGTATCCTACCGGTATCCCTTCGTGCTTGCCTCCTATCGTCAGATGTATCCTCCCCACACTCTGATCCACTCATGGGCTAGGCAAACGTTGTCTGCACTAATGTTCTCTCTGGGACCTACCGCAGCATGCGTCTGACCAGTTCTAAAAATAAATAAAATAATTTACAGTCCGACGAGTTATCTAGGCTATCTAACAAGCGGCATCAACAGCACCTACACAGATTGTACACATATAGTCTACTTCTATCATGATTAGTTCTGCACAGAAGCTTTTGAGAAGAAACGACTATGGTAGATTACAGTCCTACTCTAGGCTGTATGTTCGGTGTTAGCAGTCTGTCAACCAACTAATCAAGATAAAAATAAACTATAGTGAGCAGATGTATGCACAATGGATATGCTAGTGATGTTCGGTAGAGTTCACAATTAGAATCCCCTTCCCCTGTATCCAACGTACCTGTGAGCATCATCAAGCGCGGTGTCTAAGGTGTGCAATCACGACCCACCCCTGTGCCCAAGGTGTATGCTTATGACCAGCCTGCCCTTTGTTTACCCTCGCGTGCAACGAGCCTTACGTTCGACTGATCTGGCTGATCAAGAGGCAATTTAAGGACAGCCCCCGAGAGTCCTCAAGAATTCTTTAACGTCGCAATCAGGATGACGATCACAATCAGTGGACAGATTGGACCCCAACCAGAAATGTTTATAGACAGTCTGGGAGCATCTGCATTAGGACTGGTCAGTCCACACACCCCTTCTATCAGCGCAGCAAAGAGCCTCAATGGACAAAGCAGCATGGCCTGGGTGTACTACTACCTATGGGTTGGCATGGTGACCGTGACCCATGCTTCGACCAGGGCCCTTCAGAGGCACCGCCCTCTCCTGCCAGATGCGCCACCGAGAACAATGTCGTCTCTCAAGGTAGAGCGCACACGACTCCTCACCAAAGAGAGGACACTGAAGTTGGACTCACTTCCTCACAGTAAGAAGAGATTGAGAGGGTAGATAAGGAATGGGAACAACGTACCTGGAAATGGCTGCCCCCAACCACAAATTTCCCAACAATTGGGCCGACATGCATTTCGATGACCGGTCAATAGCCTCGGTACCACCCACAACGCAATGCAGTGCCACCTCAGCCAAAATGCCACGTCAACATACTCTCATCATCATGCATACACCCGCTGTCACCACAACTCCCACGCTGTCACCACAACTCCCACGCAGTCGCCACAGCCTTCCAGCCGCCGGCCCCTCTACCTGGGCCCCGCTAATACAAACCAGCGCCAAAGTATCCTTACTGCACATGAACCATCATCAGCGCACCAAGTAACAATGTCACCGGTGCCAGGTAAGCGGCGATCACGAACCAGCTCCGATACCAAATTGCAAGGAATATGAGTGTGAACGATATACAAAAAGCCAAGTTGCGAAATCACACAGATGTCCAGGTAGTAGTGTCCAAGCAAAGAGTACAAAATGCACCGAGAAACCATCCATATAGAGCAGTACAATGAAATAATGAGCCAATGTTCAAGCCCGTAGGCCACACCAACACAATATCCAAAGTCGCTCCTCTCTGTCTGGCGCCCAGCGCCCAGCCTACTTTACTCGACTATTCTACCTACAGCTGGTTCACGCAACAGGCTGACTTCGACTCTCGAAGACCAATGTACATGACTGTCAACACCATAGCTAACCTCTCTTCATGCACCCGGTATGTATCTCGTCACCCTCAATCAGAACTTGATTACCCCGTACTCGCCTCCTTCCCTGAAGACCACCCGATCGCCCACATTACCCCCCTGGCGCCCAGCAGCCCGGCTACGGCTGCCTGCGCCTCGCTGCCCTGCAGCGCCCCACTTCACCACTACACGCTCCGTCAGCGCCCTTGGCAGCAGCGCAGCATCAAGCGATAGCGCAGCAGCACTTCCGCATTGCCTGCACTGGCCAGAATGCCTGGCCCCGGCTGCCTCAATTCCTTTATGGAAGTGGCAGCCTCCTGGATGCTGCGTGTGGCCTGGCTGGAAGCTTCCAGTAGCTTCCGGTTGGGCCTCAGACCCTGCGCCCAGGCCTGAGACTACAGTTGAGGGCCTGGGCCTCATTTACAGTTGGGCGCGGCCTGATTCTCCGGACTTGGGTTGTTTGCTGTATCTGCGCTGGGCTCCCAGGTAGGTGCGTCGACGGTACTGCTTTTGCGTAGGCCGATGGCCTGCTTCTCAATGTATCGGCCCTGCTTTGTGTGTATGTGCCCAGGCGCAACTGTCAAGGCCTGGGCCAACTGTACGATGCAGCTTAGTGAGGCTCGCGCGTCCATTCAACCAACTGGCGTGCTGCAAGAGCCTGAATACCCACATGTGAAAGTGTCGAATTTTGGCCTTTTGACGAATATGCAGGCCCCCGCCTTCACTTAGGGCAGGCACTCAACTCGCTGGGGGCCTTAGCCCATAACATGTGATGTCTGATAGGGCCCCTTGAGGGCTCGTTCCTCACATTAAAAAGAAAAGAAGAAAAAAAAAGTGGTGACGTTTGATTCATGCACCCTCACATGTCCTTACCCGTCGTACCCTCCCCACCCCCCCCCAACCCCCCAAAAAGGTCCAGATTCATGCCA